CCGCTGCCTGGTTACCTGTCGGGCGGGCTGCGCATCCATCCACGATTGTTGCTCGGAAGGGCTTGTCTGCGAAGCGGAGCCCAGCCAGCGGATCACCATCAAGCGGCATTTGCACCCGATGCTCCCGCGCACCAGGAAGAAGATGCGTCGCAGCGGTGCTTTACTGCAGCGGCTTTTGCAGCAGATGTGTGCCTGGCGCCTGGTTGCAATACAGCAGCACAACGGTTGGGGAAAGCGTGCCCGAGGAAGCCCGGTTTCTCTACCACCAAAAAAGCGCAGCAAAGGGCTGTGGGTGAACAGTATTGACTGGTGCACAAAGATGTGTGGCGGCTGAGTAGGTGCTAAAATTTACACTGATTTATTTTTTAAAAACTCTTGCAGATTATTTCTGAGGCAAGGAAAAAAAAAAACACGCCTATAGATTTAAAAAAAGAGCAGGAAAAGATGCACATGCACAATTTTAGCTGAGTTTTTAAATTCAGGGGCAATGACTGGGAAGGCAGCCAAAACCAACTGATGAAGGAAAAAGGCATGAAAGATGGGAAGCAGACATAATCCCCAAATGCTGCTTTGCTGCTTCCTGCACAGGAAAAGTAATGCAGTGCTTCAATCTCTCTAACCTATGGTGGTGGTTTAATTTTTGTTACAATTTTTTTTGGCTACTAAGTTCTTCAGGCATGGCCACCTATGAAGGCAGCATCCAATGAGTGGTTCTGAAACATAAACATGGTGAAAGTTTTCAGTTCTGGCCAGCTGTGGTTAACTGATGAGCACCCTGGCCTAGAGAGACATGCAATTCGCACTCTCCTTTTAAGCTTTTTCCTTTATGCAGGGGTTGCTAAACTGTAGCTCAAGTGCAGCTGGTGCTACTGCTTTTGCTGTAACCAACAATAAGACACTATTAACGTGGAGGCTGCTTGATAATGCACTTGTGGGAGAAAGCCAGCTTGCTAGGGCCAGTAAGGTTTCCAGAATTGTTGAGATTTGGCTGCACCCAACACCCCACCCACCCCCATTTCTTAATGGTTCTGAAGACCTGTGGGATGCTCATGTCGTTCCCCTTCAGTGATGGAGAACTCTATTTTCTGAGATATGTGGAATATATCTTATTGGGACAGAAAGGGTGGTCTCTTCTCTTTCAGTTCTCCATTGTATTTAAGACAACATACTGTGGGCCCAGAAGAAAAAGCAAAACAAAAAAACCCCTACGATGTGAAACTTTTTGTGAATATATTTTAATTATTTCAAATACATTTGCCTAATGGCAAATAGTGAAAGTTGTTTCAAGTTTTGTTTGTTCCTCATTTTTTCAAGAATTTCACATTTCCACTATGGGCTGTGTGGTGCTTCAGTGCAGCTCCTTGTTAGCAAAAACATCAGGATGTGCACCTATGCCTCGGAAGCACATCAAACCTGTGGTTTTCTAAGGATATTGTGTATGAAACACAACCTGACAGGTCTCCTTTCACCTCTGTCCTGCAAGCTGATATACTTCATCAGATACTCGATGCCCTGCCTTTGCATGGTAATTTACCTCGTAAAATTTCAGATTTTTTTTTTTTTAATACATTTTGTTCAAACTTCTAAGGTATGTAGATACCTCTGACTTACCTTTGATGTTTTAGAAGCACTATCCTTTGCTACAAAGCAAAAAAATTGCCAAAATATTTTTAATTTATGTGTTTATTATTATCATAGGAGATGGTAGCTCTGGGCATGACACGAAGTGCCACTTTATTTGAATACAGTAACAGTCCAGAAAATTTACAATGAAGTATGAGGTTTGAGTTACATGTAGGCAAAGCAGCACAATAATACTGTGTCATCACTGGCCCAAGCCGAACTCTTGCTGGCTGCTAGCAGATGTTATCACTATTCAGTGAGTCAGCTGAGTACTTGTACATCTTCTGGGCCCTAATGTAGAAAGGGGAAATGAGTAGGAAGGTCCATGGTTAATAGTCTGCAGTGAAGTCAGATTGTCCCATCAGGGAATGCCGCTCTTAAAAGTGTTACAAAATTATAATGTAACCTCAATTCCAAAGATTTATCAAGAATGAAGAAACCCAGAGCGAGGTTGGTTTTAATCTCTTCATAAAACTGGAGCATAGTCTTACACAAGGCAGTGGTGTTACTTAACCATCTTTGGCCTGGTCCTTTACGTGCAGCTGTTACTTTACAATAGAGATTCACACCTAAAGGAGCTTCTTCTCCTGTTAAAACCTTGCTCAGTTTTACAGCCCCCTTGGGTAAATTTTGTGAATCTGTGAGTGGGACAAGTCTCAAGGGAGCTGTGTGAAGGGGAGGCTTCAGTAGATGGCACTCTCCCTCTGAGTGAGGATGCAAATACCTCTGCCAGTGAGTCTGATGCAGTGAAAGTAATTTCCTTTATACTCTACAAAAATTGCGATGAACGCAGACAAAGCTCTGCTTAACTATGCAATGAAATAACCCGTGGCAGTTTTTCACAAATCTGGATCTATCAAGTCCTCACATCTGGCTTTCTCCCTGCTTAAATAACTATACTCTGTTTCTGTTCAGCCTGAATCCCTCCTGAAAACGTAATGGTGAATATATACATATATATACACACACAGACACACACACACACATTTAAAAGATACATATATCTATTACATATATAAAAAATACATTTAAGAGAGCTTAGTAATAATATAGGTTACACACATCTGACGCAGGGTTTAGAACTGTTCTGCTTGCTCAACCATTCTTTTCTAATTCATGATTTTATTTTACTATTCTGTCAATGGTAGATCCCATTTAAGAACTTAATACTTTGGGTTGTTGATTGGTTTTTGTTGTTGTTTTGAAGCCACAAAATTTCACAGATCCAGTTTAGAGCAATCTCACTGAATTAGTGCAAGCAAGGAGGCCTTAACTGCAGGTATGGGAACAATAAAGACCTGCTAGGCATTAGGTGAGCTATCGCCTTTTAAATCAAACTTGTTGCTAACCAAGCACTAGTGCACAGCCGTCATCTTACAGCTTTCTAAACTACGATATTTTCCTCACCCCTGAGCAGAAGGGTGAGAGAGCGAAAGACATACGTGTAAGACAAAGGTTGCAATAAAAGATTACACGGGACAAATTCATAAAATGCAAATTGAATTAGTTTCAAATTCTTAAAAGTTTTGGATTATTGAGTAATATAAGTATATTCTTTCAATTTACTGCTTTTTAAGCATTCCTTTAAGCATCTATTTTCTTATTTGACTGGCACACAAGTCAAATAAGACTCCATACTTTCTCAATCCCTGCCTCTGTCCTACACGCCCCAAAAATCTTTTCCACTGATTAAGATCACAGTACTTCTAAAATCCAGAACCTGAAGGTATAATTTTCTTCCTTTAAGAGGTAAGCATTTGCTACCATAGCTCAAATAAAGCTGTTGACATCTGTTTTTTTTCAATATTCATGTCAGAGCCTGAGGGTTTTTCGGGCCTCTTAGGATGAAGAAGCCATCAGTAACGTATGAAAGAGGAGTATAAAGAGTATTTATGTACATCTCTCCTGTACCAGTCAACTTCTGAGCCATCAAAAGTCATGCACCATTACAAGTAGGTAAAGGAACTTCTATTACAAGAAGTGGTTCAAGCAATGGCATGCTGCGTGAGTGAAATGGCAGACAAATTTAGCAAATAAATAGATTTTCTGTTCTTAATTCAAACCAAACCTGCTGCAAGTGTTGGATACTTAAGGGCCTGTGCCCAAAAGCAGCATTTTCTGTCCTTTGCAGAGAAACTACACAGCAGATAAAATGCTGGACCAGGGGAAGTTCTCTGTTGAAAGTGCCACTTGGCTACAGCATTCCTCTGTTTTTGGCAAATAGATTTAAACTTCCAAATCCAAATGCATTTTACACAGAATTCCAAATAGTCTTCACACAGTAAGTTTACTACTTGGAAGTCATGTTTGCACATGACTGAATGGAAATGGTTTGGAGAGACTTTTTTTAAACACTTTACAAAGGAACTGATTTTTTCCCCTTTGGAAAAAAAATCAGGGTGTGGGACTTCTACTATTTACAACACGTTCTTTAGAAGAATAAAAGCAAAATGGTTTAACACTATTATTGTTCTAATTTTTTTCCCCTTCTGCAGTCCTGTGCTGACATTTTGTTCAGTCAGATAAGGAAATATATCTAGGTCATGAAACTAATCAAAAACAGTGGGTTTATGGTCACAACCCTTACCTTTACAGCAGCTATTGTGAGTTCAAAGAAAGTTCAAGGACCCACAAACCAGCCTTCTACACTAGCTTTCAAGTAGTGGTTTCCTGACTGAATCATCAAACTAAGAGTTGGGACACCTGAGTTTTATGCCTTTAGGCAAATTATAGCCTAATTTTCAGGTGTGGTGGATTTCTTTAACTCCCATTTATTTCAAATGGAGTCACAAGAGCCCAGCACCTCTGAATCTTGGTTTTAAACCATTTTGGGAATACCTTCCTTACAGATACATTGGAAAGCTCTTTTGATGTTTGTAATACATTTTGAAATGCTTAGTAAAAATGTGTTATAGAAATACAGTCATTACTACCAAGTGTGACATTGAAACAGTTCTGTTTTTTTCCTCATCTCCATGCAGTACAGTTCAAATGACCTTAAAAAAAATCCCACGACAGCTAAACCTTACAGTTCCGTAGCCAGGACAGAGTGAGAGACAGGAGGCGAATGCTATGAGTTCCCAGGGATCTGTAACCTCACTGCTTTTAGGATGGAAGCTGAAGGGTGGAAGATCATGAGCAAAAGGTGAAAAGCAAGTGGTGACGGAAGCAGGACCTGACGATCACATGGTTTCCTTATATTTTAGAAGATCCCTACTGGAAGGATCCAGAAGACATGGTGAGAAAATAGGCATACTAGCTTCACTTTTGATAATACTAAGAAGCCAGACAGAGATCAGAACTCAGTGGGCTTGCAGAGCTGATCAAGGAAGTAGCCAGAAAAATCAAAGTCTTGATTCTTTGTGATGGATTGCATTGTGTAATAGAGGTCTCATGCCTTCTAGTTTACGGGTGGAGGTAGGTTTATCTGTGCCGTGTGGTATTTGTGTTCAGGAAAATTACATCGTGTAAGTGAGGGAAGAAATAGCAGCAGCTGGACAGACCAGTGAGATTTGGGTGAACTTGTGCCTGTGTTTGGAGATGGGTGCAGAACAAAGGGTTGATTTTCAAACAGGATTTATTTAGAAACTTAAGATCTATTAAAGGACACTGTGGCTAAAACTTACCAATAAATGTATCAAATTAAATGGTTAGAATAAATCCATGAAATCCATGGATAAGGAGAAGTTATTAAAAGTGATCAACATTCAGCAGACCAGTACCTACTGGTTTCATAACAAAGGTGATCTTGAGTCAAGCCAGATTTTACTGGAAACCTCAAGAATATTACAAATGTCACTTCATGCTACGTTAATTAGACCAAGGTCATTTGTAAAACTGTTCAACCAAGGGTGGGCACATGCAAAAGGATGGAGCAACAGGAGAATTGCTCTTTTTACTTTTGCTTCCTTTTTCAGCCTGAAAACTGCAGGTGCTTTTTGCATCCTCCCATTTCCAGCTTACCCAGCCCACTCTGCAGGATTTGCTTGACAGGAGGAAAACATGGTTCTAAATGCATTTAGCCACTGTATTTATTTTTTTTCCCCAGTTTTCTCTTCTTGCTGATTTGCAAAGTCTCAGGTGACTGAGTTATGAGCTGTTTGCCCAACAGGGCCTTTGTTCTGGTCTGTGCTTCAGCACAAACTGGAAAAACCTGTTCGTGTGCTCCCCTTTTTTTTTGTTTTTGATCTTCCTCTCCCATTGGCAGCTGCAGCTTGCACACATGCAGACGAGGTGGTGCCTACCTTTCATGTGGAAAGGCGCCTTACAAAAACTGAGGTTGCTTCTTCCATTATCCCAGAGCTTTTCTAGCCTTGTGAAGGCTTTGGTGGATGCTCCAAGAATTAAACTCTGTTTGTGCTCTGCGAAATGTGTTTAGGTCATCATCTTATTTTTCTTCGAGCAAAGGGAGGGTCTTTGAATGTGGCTCCAGTCCAGCCTTTTAAATAACATTTTGTAGACTCCGGGACATCTGCAGAAACCAGCCTTGTTGTGCAATGTAGTTTTTTGGACGCAGAAGCCTGTCTGCTTTACAGCAGCTGCACACGGTGTAGCCTTAACATCTGTAAGACGGGACAGACCCGGAGAGAGCAAGTTAGTGCAAAACGTGGGCCAGTTGAGGAGAAACTCTTCTTTCCATCTCCTTCCTTTTCCTCTTGCTTTGTGCCGCTGTTGGAACAAGAATGGGTCAGCTGTGTGGGCGATGCATCCAGCTGCTGCGGGACTTCGTGGCCTTTGTTCAGAGGGTGTCCTCCGACTTGGTGCATAGCATCAAGGAATGCTTAACTCTGATAAGCAAATGCTCCTGCTTAAAACAAAACAGGTCTAAAGCCAGACAGCTGTACAAGCCCATCCTGCAGCCTCATGAGAGGGTGACAGCACAGGAGTTTCTGCAGCATATTGAAACAGGTAAGAGGGCTTGAGGTTTTTTTCCTAAAGGGTTGGGAAAGAACAAGGAGGTTTGTTTTGTGAGTTGAAAACAGATACCTGGCTGAACTGCTGCGGCGCGGCAGGAAGCGGTTTGGTGATGTAGGAAAGGCCAGCGCTACAAAGCATTTTCTTTGTGTACTGGGCACCAAGGGCTCAAGTGGCCTGACAGTTGGATCTAGGTAGAAATGGTCAGTCACTTTCTTGCTCTGCCATCACTGTTAATATATAACCCATGTAAATATGTTTCATAAAAGTGAGTCCTTTAGTAATTTAAGTAAATTTTTTTGAAGTCAGTCACTGAGGTCACAAAACTGGAAACAGGCAGGCTGTACCAACACTGGATGCAACATGAGTGCGGAGCTGTGAGCAGGCAAATCAGTGTGGTCCTGGCTAATTTGTGCACATCCATGTGGCTGGCTGGAGAACACCTGGACTTGTGCTGGGGGTTGTCTGTGCTGTATGTGGGGAAGGTCAAAGTCACCCTGGGACAAGCGCCGTTGGGCTCCCAGGTCTTCCTCAGGTTCCAAGCAACTGGTCTGCCTAAGTGCTTTTGTGCAAACATTTTAGACACAAGGCTTGAACACAATCATTCTGCTTGAATCAAAGTAGATCCATAAGTTTTCATTTACCTCCTCTGCTTTACAGGCTACCTCCCTAACTCCCCTCTTTATCTGCTTGTGATGTCCTGTCTATCCTGTCCTAGGATACAACAATATCAGTAGGAAAACTTTTTTTTTTGCTTCACTCCTGCATCCCAGAATATCGTCTGGGATGGGTGTCTTTTGTCAGTTGTCCAACCTAAAGTCATTCCTTGTCTCAAGCTTGGGCAGGGGCCATTGCTTGCTTGGTTTTGCTTTGTCTCACAGCTAATTGGGTATATTGCTTTCAGTTTAAGAACTTTGGGCTAAAGCTACTACACAAAATTGCATAGCCTTCTGCTTTCATTTGTGTGAAGGGTGTGGAATACAAACTACTATTTCTTTCCTTGCCTTTTTGGGGACATCTTGTGAGGGGGACCAGGAGAGACAGTTTTCCTTGGTGTGACACAGTTAACGCTGTTTGAAATAATCTGTCATGGAACAACCTTTGGAATAATTGCTGTGACGCTAGTTGTTGGGAACACATGTGAATTAGCCTCAGCTAGTATTAGCTGATGTCATTACCCTATGAATGTGGGGGGTCCTGTGCTGCTGATGCGTAGCACAGTTCACTAATTGTACACAGTAAGCACTGGCTAAATCCTGAAGTCCCTTTGCAGAATAGGACTAGACCTATCAGCTTGGTGTATGGTGGAGATCTTCCAGGTCTGAACCTTTTCTTTCCAAAGGCTAGCAAGATTCTGACGGTGCAAAAGACTGTCTTGACAGTATCCCAGCTCAGTTCAGGTTACAAGGAAGGGGTCGTCTGGAAAACATGGCGAGGCCAGAATGGCCCTTTGCAGCACCCGCTGGTGCTCCCTGACAGAGTAAGTGTATGTTTTCTTTGAGAAGTCCTTTCCTCTCTGAGCTGGATCTTCAAAAGGCTGTTCCATCTTGGATCCTCGGGAACTGGGCTACAGCAGCAGGGAGCCTATTGCTTCTGTGAGAGCAGTGCACAGATGGCAATGTGTGCTCTCAGGGAGGTCCCAATGTCTGTAATAAGAGATACACAGCACTCAGGAAGAGGAACCCAAGTTAATTCTCTGAGTGGCCAAATCCTGCTGCCAAGACAGATGGAGGCAGGGAAGCCTCACAAACTGAACCAAGACACATCCCACTTACTTTAGCGCTCGCCTGTGTATTTTATTCCAAGACGGAACAAGCCCATCCTCAGTTCTGGACAAATTATAATAAGTAGGGAGCTAACATTTGGACAGTTTGGGTGCGAGGAGAGATTTCGTGGTTGATCATTATAGTCATCTGTTAGCTAGGGCAGCAAATGCTTGATATTATAAGCAGGTGAAGATTTTGAGTGGCTTCTGCTTTATCACTCTCCCAAACAAAAGTGCAAAGATATGTGGGAGATTCAGATGATAGTCAGTGTGTAAGGAACAAATTTAAACCACATGAAGAGATTTTTGTTTTTTCTCTAAAACCTTGCACACACTGGCTAGTCCTTCCCTTTGTGTGTATTGTTAATTATTAAACAAAATTGATCTTTATATGAAGCAATTCTTCTGTGAAGCCCATTTACCTAATCCTGAAGGTAGGAGTTTGCTACTCTTGACACATCAGCAGCTTCTAATGGCTTGAGATATTGGTTGAGTTTTGCACTGAGGCATGAAAGCTCAGACCCCTCACATCCCTCGCATATCTTTATCCCATGGGAGGTAAAGTAGCTAGATCTTGTTCATAGAGATATTTCAATCTTTAATGCACTGCTTTATTGTCTGAAAAATTATTTTATAATTGTGTGCTCCACCAGTCAATTTATATTACATTAACATTTCAACAGGTTGTATTATTGAGCATTGGTTCAATGGCCCCTTTTTTTTTTTCCTCTTGCTGCTCCATTCCACACATTATAAGTACATTACACAGTGACTTACAGGAGTCATGCATGACTGCTATTGCTTGATGGCTATTGCTGAACATCTGGTTTATTCATAGGGGAGCTATCATACTCCAGAACAGGTAGTCTCATGCTAGAAATTTGAGCCTGAGGCAAGCCCATTTGCAATCCATGTTGCTATTCCCTGAAATCCTTTATTGTAATACCCAGACAGGAAACACAGTGAACTTGAAGTGCAGCAGATTAGAAATATATAATCTTTCTATAGCTCTTAACTAAGAACACCACGTTCAGTAGATTATTTTAACAAAGATCTTCTGTGATTCAGGAAAAGATAAAAATTTTTATGGAGAACAAGAACTCCTGCATTTATATTGGATAGCATAAAAGCGTCTAAAGGTTATCATTTATCTTGCTTCCAGTCACTAGCTCTGTGAGCTTCACAGGAGACATTGCCAAGGACAGGTTATTCCAGATTCATTTATTGCTTCTGCTCATGGAAACAAGAATAAGGATAGATGGGCTCTATGGAGTTGTTCAAGTACAAAAATCGTTATGTGTTTGGTTGGCTGTAAATTTTAATTTATTTTTGTAAACTAACCCTTTTCATGTGTAATTGAGTTTGTGCTCTCATTGTGTACATCTTTAGGTTTTGAAATATCACCACTTGGTAAGGACCCTCTGGAAGCCTTGAGGACCTTAGCCTTTTCAGAAAACCCAGGTTTACAGCAATCTGCTGCCCTCTATTACTTGCATATGAGTCAGCACAGTAAGTTATCTCAGTGCATTAGAAAATTTTCACATAGTTATAAATAAAAGTATTACTTCCAACCATGAACAGTTTTTTTTCATGCTATGTTGTTTGCTAAGGAAAATGGAAATGCTGTCATTGCCATGTGGGCAGAGTCATTCTGGGGTTTGCTGTGAGGAGATAACCCTCGTGATTATAAAAGACTGTCATTTATGTAATTGTAACACTTCTGTAAAACTCAGCAGAACCCAAAGTAGTTAGAGTCAGTGTATACTGAATCTCCTGAGAGCAACAGTCAAAATATGGTGGAAGGAAATTGACATAGTGATCATTTAAGGTTTTATATTGTATAATTTTTGGAAGAGGACAAAGCTCTAGAGGCCAGACTGTAGTGCAAATTTATGAAGGAAACATTCTTCTTTGTCCCAACTATTCCGTGGGAACACTTGGCTCCTGAGGTAATTTGTAAATGGTTAGAAGTCAGCTTAAATATACCAAATAAAATTCCAGCAAGAGTTTGGGTCGTACAAAGAGGTAAAAATACCAGCAACAAGCAGGCTGCAAGTTATTTATTTATTTATTCATTGGCTTGTTTTAAATTTACTTCAAGGAGAATATTCTGTCACTTGGCTTGATAGTTTTATCCCATGTATTTTTTGCTGGATAAAAAGTGCAGATAGCCACAACACGAGGAACAGCTATGAGGTGGCATGACTTGTTTGGTAGTGAGGCATGTTGCTTCCCTTCCCATGATGTTTTTGAAATACTTGGTTATTCAAAACCTTTCAGGAAACTTTCCCTGTTTTGCTAGTAGCAATGGAATTTAAATGACGGGGAATACCACTCAGCCTATGTATGGTAGCACCTGAGGCTGAAGACCAATGAGAGAAAAATGTGACTGTGATGAATGATGAGACTCCTGAATATTTCCTCTCATTCCTGCAGTGAATGTCCCCCTGCCTGTGGAGCATCTGGAACCCTTCTACGCCTTACTACGGTCTGCTGACCTGGAGGTGCAGCAGATGTCTTCCTTGTCCCTTGTCAACTTCTTGCTGGAAGGAAATAGTGAGTAATTAACAATACGTTTCTCTTCAGGTGAAAAAGTATCTCTCAGCCAGACTCAGGCAGAAGGAGGGCTCATCTGCACAAATCCCAATTCCTTTTTTTGTATTCCTGATAGGATAGGTGTGAGTCTGTTTCTGTCTGCAAGCCACATCTGGTGGCACCAGGATGTATCAGATCCCTCCACTTAGATTGTATCACGTGGCAAGAGATCTTGATCTGTGTGCATAGGCTGATGAATTATTCCCAGACTGGTGTGGGAACAGCTATACTATTCTCGTTCTTGGATTGGGAGCCCACCGCTTACCCTTTCAAGCAACAGATACAGCTCTTAGAAAGAAACTCTGCCTATGAGACAGTGCTCATTTTCTTGTTATTTCTTCACTGGACCTTGGTCTTAAAATGCTTGCAGATTTTAAAAAAAATTAAAATGTTTAATAGAATTCACTTTATTCTGTAGCTAATAGGGCAAATGTAATTGAGAGAGGATCTGGGAGCTGCAGATGAAAAACTTCACAATAAAGTTTATGTTTGTAGTCAGGGCATGAACACTGCACACCTCGTCAAGGGAGTCCTTGTTGCATCTACCACTGTGCTCCCAGGCACTTGGGCCACAACAGGTATTCCATCATGCTGCCCCATAACAACAGACAGGGTCAGTCTTCAATGAAGCTAGCTTTTTTCTTTTTTTTTTTTTTTTTTTTTTTTATAGATTTTTTTCTCTATTGGAAAGCTGCAGTTGCACTTTCCAAAATGACCCTTATGTTTGAAAACAGAATTGCTAGCAGAAATATTTGGGACCTTCTGAGCATCTCTTACACTCTTTTGTGAATCTGAAAAGGAATCAAGCAAACCAAGCTAGGGACTGTGAGTGCCTTTCAGGCTGTTTCCATCTTAGGTCTATTTCACATAATCATAATATAGACCCCCAAAGCAGTCAAAGGAAAGTACATCCTCTTCACAAAGGCATTAACAGTTTACTTTTCTGTTTGTCCATTTTTTCTTGAATTTATAAATAGTTGACAAAGAATTAGTTGTCCAAATGGGTTTACTTGAGCCAATTCTGGATCTGCTTGAGTCAGAGGATCCCACTGTCCAGTGTAATTCCTGTGCCTGCACCATGACTTTGGCTGTTTCAGGTGAGTGTGCTGTTCTTTCCCTTTATCCTCTGCAGTGAATCTATTCAACTCTTACCTCATATTTCAAGGTGAAACAACCTGTTTGCAATTGGTTTAAGTCATAAGATGCAGCAGCAAATTATGGTATTCCCACATCATAAATAAGACCTCTTGAGATTCCAGTTAAGATCTTTTTCTCAGTGTTTCTGACCTTCATTCTCTTATGATTACAAATTTTTTTCTGATTTCCAACCTAAATATATGCATGACAAGCTTATCTTAATTAATGTCTATGTTGGCTTTTGCTTCAGTAGTTCTGCCTTTCTCATGTCTATGCTGATGAGGCTCCTTCAATTTACTAGACTGAAAAAGCCAAGCTCATTTAAGACTCTTCTTGTAAGTGAGGCTATCCATTCATCTCCATAGCCCTTCTGGGTGTAAATGATATGTTCCAGAAATGGAACAGAGCAATTGCGTCTACTGTTTTGTGATACCACAGACCTCAGGCCTTGTTACAGTCCCAAGATGTACATAAATGCTGCAGGAGTTCCATTCTGAATTCATCTCTTCTGAAAGAGAAGTCACAAGAAATGTACAGTATTTCAGCTGGCATCTCACCTGTGTCTTTTATTGTGACATCCAAGGAAATATGTTTTACGGTACATCTCATGATAACACTTGCTTTTTTTGTGATTGCATTATGCTGACGTTGTCATCCTGCAGCTGACTGACTTAATCACTTAGTCTTTCTCCTCCTCTGCTGCTATTTCCAGCAGACATCAATTAATTAAGAGTCTGCAACAAGTGTTTCCAAGGGCACGTCCCTGCATTTTGTACCATAAGGTTTCATTCTGTTTCTGTTGCTTCAGTCTTCTAACGTGTCTGTTATTTGTAAAATACTCTAGTCCTCCACCACATTGACAGCGCTGCACTTTCTATTAACTTTCTGGTTCAAAACCAACGACAGACCAGTGCTTGTGGAATTCCACTTGTAGCCTCCTTCCAGGTGATCATTCCCATTCAGCAAAACTTGCTGCCATCTTGCTTTTAGTCAGTTCCTTATCCATCGTGTACTACTTGCATTTGTCACCAATTTCTCTTGCTTAACTATGCTTATTGCATATCATGATATAGATATTTTCCTGGCATCCAGACCAGTAAGCTCAACCGCAGTTATCAAAAGAAAGTTTATCAGGTTAGTCTGCCTTATTCTACCTTTACAAAATTTGTAGAGTAGAAATACAGTTTGCAAAAGGCCTTTACAAAAAACCATGAATAACATGTATTTCGCTTCCTGTAGTGTTTATTCCACCAGTTTCCCTCTCCAGCGTGGGAAGTTGCAATCAGATCCCCCAGAAGGCCGAGAGAAGCATGATGAAAGTGTTACTTTCTCATTTAAGTATTTATGTTGCAAAGGGGGACTGGATAAGCAGGATTCAACTACATGAGAATGCTGGTTTGCCTTTTATCCCATTTTTGTTGTTTGTAGCTTTTAAAACACTTTTCCCTTTGAAAGTTATTTTTAAACATTGCATAATATTATGTTCAGGTTAAATACTCTGTATACTACATTACTTGGTGTGGAATGCAAATTGCCTCATTTAAATGTCTAAATTGGGCATGGCATCGCTAAAATTTTAGGTACCTGGCACTACAAGGACTGGTCAGTGAAGTTATGCCCCTGAAGGTCTACAGAGAGATATTCCTTCACCTCTTTTAAGCAGCTCAGAGAGTATGCAGCTTCTTTGGGGACCTAAGGCTGTTCCTTAGTCTTGAAGGCACTCTGGCCCTTCTAGATGTCCCTGTCTTTAACCCAGAGCACGGGGAACCCTCAGCTGCTTCAGATCCAATCCACCTTCATTCTCTGTTGAGGGTGGTCACCTAATGCCTTTGCACCCTCCCTTAAGTGCCAGTGTACCTCTGAGCACAAGTAGTTCAAATTAAGCACCCAAGGAGCTTTCAAACTAGATAGGCAGGCATCTGCTGAACATAGACGTAAGCAGTCCTGCAGGTGCATAGGCTGGGTTGCTGCCTGGCATTTGATCAGTGTTGAGGACGTCTGTCCCAGTTTGACTAGGATTTAGATGGACTGTATCCATTTATTTCTTTTTCAGACTATATTTAGTTACCACAGCAATGAGACTAAAGCAAGAGGCAATTCTCTAGGGTTTAGTTAAATTTAAGTCACAGATTCTGATATTTTAAAGGGTCTGCTTGAGAAAAGTAGTCTGTTCAGTCATGTCCTTCAAGTAAGCCATTCGTGCTTCAGACTGGTTTAAAAAAGGTAAATACAGAAGCACAACCAAATTAGGAAGATCCTTAGATAGCTTTAAGGTGACAAATTCTAAATCCAAGAATGGTAATGTGTCTCAATTCTGCTGCAATGAGCGTGCATGACTGCGTACAGAGTGAAGATCCTTAGCAATGTGACTGCAAGTTTTAAGTCAGCTGGGTTGTGTGGTACTTACCTGCTGCAATGGGTAGCCAAAAATAAAAACAGCAAACAAACCCATTCAAATGAAAAGGATTTGAAGGTCAGTTTGTTCCACACAGCAAAAGGAAGGTCACATACACATTTGCAATTATCCGCAGCTTTTCAATCTGTGAGTGAATGTGGTCAGTTCTGGGATAAGAACTCTTCTCAGAGTACATAGGAACAGAACTAAACATTCACAGCAAGGGTTTAGGGAGGCCTGAACATCTGCATTAAGCTAATCAAGGAGGATGCACTGAGTATAGAGGACGTTCAAAGTTGTACTGAATGGGAGAATTTTCAAGCACACAAATGTCACAGAGTGGAAAGAAAGAATTTATCAATGCAGGTTGCAAGGTGAGTTATTCAAACCCAGCTTGAGTAGATGTTGATTTCCTCACTTCAGTGTAGCATCTGAATACATGGTTCTCATCTAAAAGCGCTCTAAGGGTTGCAGTGGCATCAGTGGAGGGACTTCGTTACTTAGATAAACAGGTAGTCCAGGAGAGAAACGTAATCTAGGCTGCCACATCTCTTATGGAGATGACAGTACAGTTACACATCCTGGTGAGGTAGATATCGCCATCCATTCTGTCATAAGTTGACAAAACAGATGTGTTTAGCCACATTATCTGACGAAAACTAGAATGAGAATGGAGGGAAGAATAAGGGAAAATGACATATGTCAAAAATAAAGCCAGCAAACTCTCAATAATGGACACTGCAGAGAAGAACTTGTCAGCCAGTGAATGACCCAAAGGAAAATAAAAAAAAAAATAAATTATTTCAGTCACCGAGGTTTCCATTGTGTGGGTACCTGTTGTGGTCTTTCCACTCTCCCATGATGAGAGCAGGCGCTCCAGTCCTTCCTAGGCAGGAGCAGGGTGCCTGGATCTCCATGTGGCACTTCTCTCTGAAGCAGACTGTAAGAGCTCATCCTGACACTGTAGGCTTCCAGTGTTGACCACCACCTCTGAGCCCTTAGGCAGAAAAGTTGTTTGAGCCTTTCCAAAACAAGCTGGTTATGTTTCTTTAAGGAAGAAAAACCTTAGAAGCACTCAATGGCTCATGTTCTGTCATGGCCAGTGCTTCCTTCAGATCTTCAGACTGGAAACACGCCCTTGAGAAGCTCTCTCACAAGATGGTATAGGATTCCCCTTCCCTCCCCTAGAAGGGAAAGTAGAAGAAAGCAATTGCCCAAGTTTTGTCCAAATGTTTGTAATCCCTTTGCCCAAATGTGAGGTTCGCTTTCACATTCATAAACATTCATGGAGTGTATTGTGTAAAAGAATGAAGGAAGCAGTAATACCTGAATTCTTTAGCCTTTGTACCTCTTCTTTACTCAACTAATCAGAGTTTACATCACATCAGACTGATTTCCATCAGATGGAGCCACACAGAAGAATTTCTGCCTCCACTGAGGGAAACAAAAGAACAATATGCAGGCAGATTAGATTGGAAAAGGCTTGTCTACAAAATTGACCAGAATATTTCACCAGAATAATAGCTTCCCATGTGGAAAAGTTATTTTTAAATACCTGACTCTTCCCAGAACAATTAGAGTATTTTTTCCAGAATAAAAGGTATTTCCTTGAGTACAGAATATTCATATGAAGGCAGAAAAGGACTTGTCCTGGAATATTGAACCAATGCTGGCTCAACTATACTTGAATAAATATCCTGGATTATCTGTGTGCATCAGTTCCCCTATCATGGTTTAACCCCAGTCAGCAACTTGGCACCACACAGCTGATCACTCACTCCCCCCACAATGGGATGGGGGAGAGAATCAGAAAAGTAAAAGTGATAAAACTCGTGGGTTGAGATAAAGGCAGTTTAATAGGTAAAGCAAAAGCTGCATGCACAAGCAAAGCAAAGCAAGGAATTTGTTCACTGCTTCCCATGGGCAGGCAGGTGCTCAGCCACCTCCAGGGAAGCAGGGCTCTATCACATGTAGTGGTGGTTTGGGAAGACAAATGCCATCACTCCAAACGTCCCCCTCTTCCTCTTTCTTCCCCCAGCTTTACATGCCCTGAATATACCCTGCTAAATTAATTCAGTCTTGCCTGAAGTTAATTATGTGGGTTTTGGTGGCCATACCATGAATAGCTTGATCAGATGTACCGGGGTACAAGGCACATACAACACCTGTTAAACAACCTGTTTAAGGGGGCCTTACAGTCCTTTCATTTTAATAATCCCAGTCACAAAACAAAAGCATTGAACCAGCTGTGATCTATGGCTAATCCAGAAGTCATGAGTTAGGTTTTTTCCCATTGAGCTCTTGGAATTTTTATCAGGTTCCATTGAGCATGCAGAGAAATTTTGATATATACCAAAGAATCGGAGAAGTGAATGCCAAAGAAAGCTAGTCCTACTGGTTGTCCTTCTCCTGGCTCACAATAAGGTGGCAATGTCTTCTTTCTTTCTTTCTCTGATCCTTTTCTCCAGAGTCCAACCGAGAGGCTATAGGCGCTGCTCAAGGAGTTACACCCCTACTGTCTCTTGCCAGTTCCTACGATCCTAGAGTCCAACAAAATGCAGTTGGGGCTATTTTCAACCTCACACAATCAGGTATTTTCTGACTGACAGTTTATCTAAAATTGCTGAGAGAAAATTTCTCACTGATAGGAAAATAATTCAGAAGGGTTAAGGCAAGAATAAAAGTAAATCTGACAACAAATTATTTCCTTTGCATATGGCACTCATGTTGATACCATAGGCTGATGATTTAAGTTTGGCCTCTCTTTAACTAATACAGACCCTTTGTTTGCCTAGCACCAAAACAGAAAGGCTTGATTTTCAACCCCAAGGGGCTAATGTACAAGCACTTAAATCATCAGTCAAAGAAATAGAAAAAAGAATTATAATTTGTTAAAGAAATAACTTGGTCTAAAAAATTTGCTTCAGAATACCACCAAATGTGCTGCTATCTCAGAAGCTTATCCAACAAGATCAAGCTCTAGGAACGTTTGACTTGTATCCCTAACTCGACGTTGGATGATGCAAAATACAACTATTATGGGCCAGATGTTAAAGGCTCCTGGGATATCTGCCAGCAGCTTTAGCAAAAGGAGTATTTGGTCCTCTGCAATAATATGTGCACTACCATACATTAGCTCAGAAACAAACCAGCATTCAATCTCACCTATCTAGATGATACCATTATCCCACACAGCTAAGCAATACAGTTATGTCTCTTATCTGTATCTGGTGGAAGGGAATGGTTGGCAAGAACTTCTACAGTTCGCTATTACACATCTGTTATTACTCAAAATTTTTAAAAGAATTTGTTTTTTTAACATGGTAATCATGGTGAATATCGTACCTGAGGTTTTTTAGCTTCTCCAGCAATTCAGGTTGTCGGAACAGTCTTTAGCATAAAACCAGCAAAGGCTTAATCAATCAGACAGCCTGCTAGTCATTTTGCTAAAGCGTATGCGTCCTGCTGTATTGCACAAGCTCTAAATTATATACTCTCCAGTCACACTGATTGGCGTATATTTGGACAACTTTACCACCCTCTAGAATCCAATGATTGTGCATATCCCTTTTGAATGGTGCCTCCAGAGGAGAGGGAGGGAAGGGGAAAGACACACTAACAGCCCTTTTTTTTTTTTTTTTTTTTTTTAAATGGCAGAGAAAATCCAACAGGTCCTATGCAAGGAAGGAGCCCTACCAGTTCTTGCCTTGCTTCTTGAATCTCCTGACTCAGAAGTGCAGGTATGGTTCAAACAGGTCACATTTTAAGCAGTAACAGTGTGACTGTAAGAAGAGCACAAGCTACAGCATGTAAAAATGAAAAGGTGGAGAGGGAGGAGGGTTTCCCTAGAGAACTGGGGAAGCATATGAGCATCTTGGTGAAACTCAGCTCAGTCAGGTAACGTATATTCACAACACTCAATTTGTTTAGCTCCACAGGATAAAGTTTATGACACAGAGGTGCATCTGCCAGCACACACCAGTGCATGCACACAGTTGTTACCTTCTCGTGTCTTTCAGATCATCAGACAAGATGTAGATAGGCCTCTTCCTCTCTTTGTTTTTTGCATCCTAACTTTGATCTTCCACTCTAAGCGATTTTACTAAGTGTTCTGAGAAGGCATAACTTGCAAAGGTTTTTTTCTTATTATTGTAAATGTCTAGGAAATCTCCCTATTTTATGCTTATCTCAGACACCTCTTTGTGATTCTGCACACTTAACAGAGAGCCGGTCTTGGTTCAAAAGTATGCTGATGAAAAGCTATGAATCAGAGTGTAAACCTTAAAATCCGCTAGTTCATTCATTAAGTCCTCTTGATTGTTTCCTCCATCAGTTTTGTTATCTCTGTTCAGATTTCTTTTAAATGTCTGAAGGAGTGGAGCCTCTGGAATTGCTTTCTGCAAACTGTTTCAGCTTTATCAGCTATCTCTGAGATTCATCTTAAAATTTCCTTCTCTGGAGTTCAACCTGTTTCTTCTAATTATAGCTCCCTAGTAATACATACTCTTATATATATAGTCCTCCCTAGCATTAACATGTAAATCCTTTGGAAATGATCTCTTGGCATGCTAGGGCAATGACTACATCCAGCTTGAGTAAATCAATGTAAACATACAATACAGTAGATGCAGATGACCTAACTTAGGCACCAGCAGCAGTGTCATTGCAGCAGCACAGTACATTCCCAAATACCCAGGGACCTAATGGGTTTGTACAGCATGCAGTGACGCAGCACGGCTGCTGTTGTAGCTACAGCGGATTGCTTCACTTTTCCTGGAGGAAGCGCACTTAGGCTGTTATCACATATACCCAATAAAACACCCTTAAGATGAAAAAGCCCTTTATTTTCAACAGCTCTAAATCTGAGCATTTCTCAGATTTGTTTTTATTCTCTCCAACATGTCACCACTGCAAGCTCCTTTCTCTCTACTTTTTTCTTGGTCCTCTGCAGTACTACAGCTGTGCTGCCCTAAGCAATGTGGCAGCCAATGTTCAGCACCATGAAGCCATGCTGAGACCCAGCAACAGGTTCCTGCTCCAGACACTCATCTCTCTCCTATCCTCTTCTGTGGACAAGGTAAAGCTGTAGTTTTCTCTTTGTGTAAAGGCTTAGCAACCGAGCAGAGCTATAAACTTGGGCTTCCAGTTTCAGTCTTGCACAGTTCTGCTCATCTACTGTACAGATACCTATGCAGCATCTTTTCCATGAGAAAAGACACATATATTAGAAGATATGTAGGTTTTACAAGGTCAACATAAGGACAAAGAGAAGGGAAATCATTAAAGTTGTTACACAGCCCTGGACGCTTCCTTTGGACTAGGATGGCCTATATTCTTTAAACTTCAAACTGCGTGTGTGAAGCGTTCTGTCCAGACTCTCAACTATGTTTGATCATTGTGCCTGTGACAGCAAGTATCGGGAGCATCTATTGTGCTACTTCTTTTTTTTTTTTACTGTTTGGTATCCATCACTTTGACTATATGGCTTCAAAGAATAACATCTCAAAAATTTTGCTTTGTTGTGAGCCAAATGAAGAAACTTCAATAAGCCACAGTTCAGGATTTAAAGGGTGGACCCTTAAATTCTATGTAGGAGGGGGATGAAAACAAAGGCAAAGCAAATGAGACAAATTCACTCCTTTCATTTTTGTATAACTTATCTGACGTTCCTAAAATAAACCAACATTTGAACCCCATTGGCTCTCTCTCATCAACATCAGGATGACTGGTACTAGAGGAAGTTGAAAAAAAAAAATCAAAAACTTTTATAACAAAAAGTATCCCAAAATTTGTGCTCTGAAGATAATGTAATAGCTTGCTAGCGTTGTCATGTTTATTTTGCATACAATAGTCAAGAACATTCATTACTGAAACCACTCTTTTTTTTCTGTTTTTGGCACAAGCAGGTTTCAAGCCAGGCATGCATTTGCCTAAGAAATTTGGCTACTAGTGGTAAGCAATATCTTGCAGATAAACAAACCCCTCTACTTCTTTTTCTTTCTCTCTCTGCCTTTATGACTGAGCACAGTGGGTTGGGAACCTTTCATAGTAAAAGCCAAGAGATAACCTCTTTTTTAGGTTTTAATTGGATGTTAAGGGAAGAGGGAGGTGCTGTGCGTAGACTAAACCTGCCTCAGAGCTCCCCATTAGCAAGGGGAAGTATCTGGACAAAGTGAGTGAGACAGCAGAGGGTCGTATGCACAGCGCCTGTGCAACTCATAAGTTTTTCTCCCTCCCATGTTTCCTAAGCATTAGACCTGATTAGGACAGAATGTCTCCTGAAATTGCTGCTTGAGTGGTGACCCGCCTTCTCCCAAGGCATGAATCTGTCTATCATTATATATAATTTCCTCCAAAGCATTTGTCATCCTCTTAAAAATATCCCATCCTATTAAATGCCCAAGAGCCGTTTCTACGGCATACTCGGGAGATGAAAGCAGAGGACTGGCACACTCAGCGCTAGAGCCCTCGGGTCCAGGGTAAAGCTACTCATCTAGAAAACGTAGAGGTGCTTAATTTCCAAGCAATCACAGTTATAGTGGAGGTGGGAGTGAAGGAACTGCTGCACTGCTCGTTGGCATGGTTGAAAACCCCTGGTCTGCTTGGCCTTTTAGGACTGCTGCTCCATCTGCTGGCTGCTCTGGCATTGCCTTCAGCGCCCAAAACCACTCACTGAAGTTGCAGGGACAAATGGGATATAAGGATTCAGCCAGAATGGCTGGTCTCTCCCCTGGCTAACCATAACTCTGCAAGATAGATGATGCCTGGGGAGGTCTGTCTGTCTGTCTGTCTGTGCAGCAGAAGCTGCCACCTTCCTACCAGACCTTATGCCAATGAAGGACTCAGAAAATTCCCCTCATTTCTTCTCGATGAAATTCAGACACGAACTGAAGGCTGCCCAAACCTACATTCTGCTCTCAAGCCTGTATTAATCCTTTGGCAAAAGGAAACAGAATAAATGAGGATTTATTTTTATAACCAAACATCCAGCATTGTCGCATTCCACAGAGGTGGAGAGGTCCCCTCTAATTTCATCACTGAGGCCCAGTCAAACCTTTATGAGTTGGGGCCTGAATGCCTCCTTGCAGTGCTCTGAAGCTCCCTGACATCGATTGTTTTCCCAAACCAGCAGACATCCAGGCCGAGATGGTTGCTGAGGATGTCCTGCCCAAGCTGTGTTCTCTCCTGACATCGGGAAGCGAAGGCGTGCGTCGTGCCTCCATCGCTCTGCTCTGGATACTGTCCCAGCACCCGCACAACCAGGTAGGGGAGGCCATTTCCCAAGACTAGAAGGGAAAGAGTAGTTCTGGTCACCATCTGGGGTAATGCCCTGTTATGGCAAAACTGCACACAAAATGCATTTGGAGAATGACCAATAGTCTCTGTGAGACTTCCCAACCCTTCTCCCTCCCACACAAATTAATGAGGTTTTGTCTACTGCATCTGCGCTGTCACTAACTGCCCAAGGAGCCTACCTGTTGTGGTGAGTGGGATCCAAAGGATCCCGTAGTTAATCAGATTACCTGTTATGGGACCAAGGGGAGGGTAGAGGGGGAGATGGATGTCGGATTCCTTGGATGTGTGGATACTGCCCTGCACTCCCGGCAACTCCCTATGGTCCCCTCGGTCCCCAGACTGTAGGTCTCCAGGTGGGTATAACAAGGGGCAGGACACATGCGTAGCACCACGAGAGACTGCAGCCACGGAGGCAGGTGAGGAAGTTATTCCTTGGCTACAGAGCTTCCCCACACACTGAAAAGCAAACCAGTTTAGAGAGTGTGCACTTAAAATGCATCAGTGCAAAATAAAGTGCAAAAATACTTCCCTAAAGGGACAGTTATTCAAAAGTACATTTGCATAAATTTAACACCTTTTGAATTAGCATCCAGACAGCAAGGGGAGCTAATAACATTTGAAATCCTATCTCTCTTTAGCCAAATCACCAGAACTTTCGTGCGTCTCCTCACGCCCCTAGTTACAAAGGTTCTTTTGCCCATGTTCAGGGTGGACACCACCCTTAACAGTGCAACACTATGCAAATACATGAAGTTGTCAGACTAGACATAAACTATAGCAATTAAACAAAACAGATACTCCTGCTGTACTTCCATCCTCCACATAAAACCAATAAGTAGTCACTGGCAAATTATTGTTATTTTAAAATGTGCTTTTCCAATACAGTAATTAAAGGCATCCTAAGGAACATGGATATGAAGGGTTTTTGATGGGTGTGTTAAGCTAACAATAACCTTTTAAGAAAGTCAGAATTTGGGTAGATAAAGCAAAAAAAAGTGAGAATCTCTCCTGCCACATTGCTTTAAGCAGTAGTGACAGATGATCTGAGTAACCACAGCTGGGCTTGGGTGCTTCTCATGCCTGAAATACACTCAGTCTGATTTGAAATGTCCTCCGGGTAGTGGAAGCCTGGTGCTTTACACCTTGGTTGCACACACACAGGACAATACGAACCAAGTTGCACCTCCTCTGACTCTGGGGCTTGATGGAAAAAAACAGGTAGGCTCAGTGCCTGGGAAGCAGCAACCAGAGCACAGAGCTTTCCAAAGGCACTGTGGCTGTGCAGCTTTTGTGTTGGCTGCATTAGCACCAGGCGTCCTCGTTGCTTGTCAAACTGCCTCATACCATCAAAACACAATTTGCTCTCAACAAGATTACAACTGGAATACGTTAAGTTAGTTGGAGGCTATTTGCACAAACATTATTCAGTACGAAGCATTATGCTGGAACATTGCCCTGGCTTGTATTTGCTTTTCTTGCCCCCAAACACCATTTACGCTTTTTGTTCTCCCAGAAAAGAGTATCCACAACTCCTTTCCTCCCTGATCCTGAAACCAGTGCTTCAAACCTCCGGCTACAAAGGGCACGGGGCAGTGTCAGTGGGAACAGACAAAAGCGCCGGGGCTCACAGTGGTTACACCAGCAATGAAACAGCCTGACTTTCATGGGGGGAAAAGGGCCGGCAGCAGGAGGCTGGAAAGCAAAGCGTCACCCTCGAGGGTTTATTTTCCAGTGGGAAGCACCTACATCTCAAAATTTGTTTTAGTGGGCAAACACGGCTGTCCCTGACTACTGAATGTTTTGCTTTGTGTGAGCGAGCCCTGGGCACTCTGAGAAGCAGCTGACCTCTCCTTACTCATATCCTGCCTTCCCACCTCCGTGCCTTTTCTGGCCTGTTTTTCAAATCTTTTCAAGGTTTCTTTCTCTAACCCAGCCTGAATTCTCAGTGAGTGAAAGAGGGACTTCTCCATGGGAACAGCTGTTGGAAAACAAACCACCGAACAAAGCTAACCTTTACAACCAAGTCAAGTGATGCTTGAATTATTACAAATACTACCCAGGATACAATAGGGCAGAATTCGTCTGCCCTTTCGTTACCATGAAGCAAGCCCCCGGGAATGCTTCACGAGAGCTCCTCTCCCTGCTTAAACCCCTTTTTTGCCATCCCCTGGCCAGGCTATTGACAGCAATTCCCAGCAAGCGCTGGAAAACTTCCCTCTTGCAGGGGGAATTTTATTCATTTCTCTCAAGGACAGCCCAACCCTGAAACACTAAAGAAAGAGTCAGGCTTTGTGAGAAAACAGCCTTTTAAATCACATGCTGTTGAGCAAAGACCTGGAAGTTAGGGTGGCAGGGGTCTGTCTGCTCCAGATGATGCCACTGACTTTCCACTCCGGATACAAAATAACTTTGCCTACCCACCTTGCTACCTGGCAAACAGGGGATAATATTTATCTTGTCAAGAAATCCCTGGATAAGGGGTGCAAGTGCAGCATTGCGATTGTAAGTGCAGTTGCTGCTGGAATGCTTTTCCTTGCCTTTTTTTTTTTTAATCTTAGATCAATATCCATCCGAACCACCCAATCCATTTTTAGTCAGATTTTTCTTGTGATTCTCTCACACTGTGCAGGATTGAGCCAGAAAACAAAATCTTTATCCCAGCAGTATGCCAGCCAAAAAAGAGGTTCAGCAAAATTTAAAGCACTGGCTAGTGTAGGTCCTAAATAAACAGAAGAGCTTGGCAGGGAAGTCATTATATATTAGAAAGTTCATTTATAGTCTGCAGACAATTTCCTCCGCTCAGGCTGTAGCAAATCAAATAAGGGTACCGTAGCCAATGGAATTAAATACAAAAGAGGACATTTGGTCCAAAAGCACAGAAAAAAATCATCAATGGTAATTTAATTGTATTATCTAAAATCATATTTTTTTCTACCTTTGAAAAGAAGGAAAAATAAAACTAGAGAAAATTAATAGCCATATCTACATACAGGATTTGTTAGATGCCCTGAGTTTAGGCATAGCACTGCCCTTTCCATCTATTTTCAGGTTTTATTTTAGGATTGCTGGTTGTGACAGTGCTTAAGATGAATGTAAGTGAAGATGACAACTGATATTAAAAGAAAAAAAGATACACTTTTGCAGTTGAACCTAAGTAAAAGGAAGATGCACATTAAAATAATTTTTAAAGACATCTGCCTTTCAACACTGCTTCAGTGATCCTGACATTTCACAGGTTCCAGAATGATGTGATTTTTTTCAGCTGTAAATAGGACCGATGATTTGGTTTCTATTGAACACCCTTGCTAATGTGTCTCAATTTCTAAGTAGCACAAACAATATAGTTCGTTACTAACAAACATAAAAAATGCATACAGAACTCAAATTCCTAAGGAAAAGAGACTGAAAGAAAAAAATGCTGCCAAGAGGAAACCTTTTGCTTTTAACTGTAGACCTAGCCTAAAGCCTGCTGAGATCAGGTTTCTGTTGCAAACAGCAGTGTCCTCTTAATCCACACCGTTATTGAGGAAACTGCCTGGGCAGTAATCCAAACTCAGAAGACCTGGTTCAATTAATATGAGTGGTAATTGGAGGAAGACTACATTCAGGGAGAGAGGGGCTCAGTAAAGTCCCTCTAAAATACCCATGAGACAGCGGAGAAACCTATGCATAAACTCAGATGCTGCGGCTCAGGACACGTTACTGAAGTGGTGCCCAATCCCAAACTGATCTAAACACGCAGTCTGTTATCGTTGGCGAGGAACATTGCCAAGGTACCCAAGGACGGGCTGCTGCTGCTGCTAGTGCACCGTGTGCTTTGGCCCTTCGCACCTATCCTGACCGCTTCTCTCTCCAACTACTGACAACCTCTGTGAAGCGCTTGATGCAAACAAAAATAAACTACCGGACCTTAAAGACTCCAGCTTTCCCTAGCAAGTGCTCTGTAGATCAGTGCCAGTCAGTAGACCATATTTTGAGAGAAAAAAAGCACTGGACCCAGCTGCTACGCTGTCAATTTAAATGAGCTAAGAAACACTCTTCTTTCAGAACTGAGATCTATCTATCTGCCTATAGTTTGCTGCAAAGTTGTGCTGTGGTGTCCATACTGGATGTCACTAAGGTACTGGTTTCTCTTCTCAGGACACTCTGGCGTGTGCTGAGCTACTACAGAGCCTGGGGATGCTACTGGCAGCGCATAAAACAGACCCTGTGATTGTTGGCCATACTGCTTGTATCATCAAAAACCTGAGCCTTTCCAAAAACATACAGGTAGGTACCCAGTATTTTTCACTGAACTATACCCTGGGAGGTTGCAGTTATGTTTATATCGAATCAGTGTTACTCACAGAAAGATTTAATTTTTTTATGAAACATACGCCAAGGATACTCTACACTAAATTGTGTGTATGAATAACAGGAGCTGATGTGCCATAGTGCCATAATGAAAGGGGGTTTTGGTTTGGGTTTTTTTTTTTTTTTTCCCCATTTTTTCCAATAAAAAAAGTTACTCACAGAAAGATTTAATTTTTTTATGAAACATACGCCAAGGATACTCTACACTAAATTGTGTGTATGAATAACAGGAGCTGATGTGCCATAGTGCCATAATGAAAGGGGGTTTTGGTTTGGGTTTTTTTTTTTTTTTCCCACATTTTTTCCAATAGAATACAAAAATGCTAATGAAAATTAGACAGGTCTAATTTTTCCTGGGAGCGATGTGGTTACCTAGTCTGAGTGCATCATAGGTATAAGACATACCTCTAGCAAAGACATTTAAAGCTAATTAAAGGAACCATCCAGGAAAATCTGAGGCTTGTTATAAACTAGCCAAAAGGAAAATTATTTCCAATATTTTTTTTCACTTATACTAAGATAAGAATTATATGAATTTCTGATAGTTGTGAAATCAATTTTTGCAGGGAAATAGATTCCTTCAAACTCAAGTGCCACAGTAAGAGTAAAAATGGACCATCTTTTCAAAGGTTGCTTTAAAAAAAATTACCGTCTTCATCACTTAAATTCTGTGACTTTAATCTGTTATCAGCAGGGAGCTTGTTCACCTTCATAAAGCTTTAGAATGTGCCTTGCAATGTATTCAGCTCTCACTGCACAAGTGAATCCACAGACATGAGTGGGAGTGCCAGGTTTCCAGGGCCAATTCTAAGGAACCATCCCTCAAACACGTGAGAGTCCTTGGCTCAAGAGGGAAAAAAGTATTGGTTTTATGCCAGCAGGACACAACCAGAGTGTGGGAGCTTGAAAGGCAGCAGTCTTGAATCCAGCTTCAACCTCTAAGCGGCAAGTTAAAAAACTGCAACATAAAATGAGCAGACACAAAAAAGATACTCCCTTTTGTTGATAGACACTTGAGCTCCCTTATGGAGGTGTGAGCAGCTTCCAGTATTAGGACCTCCCAGAGAGCTCATGACTTTGTGATTCAGCTTCAGTAGTAACCAGCCACCTCCAGGTCGCTCATTCAGGGACTCATTCCTTGGTCTCATGTGCTTTTAATCCAGGCCAGTGCAGGATAAATCTCCTATCTGTTTTCAACTCAGTCTCTAAAATAAATAGCCAGAGACTAAAATAAATGTACAGAGACATGCTGCCCAACACCACTTTTGGCATAACAGATTCAACCTACAAGATAAGGTATACACAGAAATATTTAATTCACAGCATTTCTCTCCAGAAACAGAACTCACCTTTGGTAGTGAGATGTCATCTCATATTTTTGCAGATCAGAGCATTTCAACACCAGAAAGTTTTCAAAACCCTGAAGACAAATAAAAGAAACTGATAAACCTCCACATTTCCCAATGCTTTGCCCTGGAGCACTCAGTTTATTCAGCTCTGCAGCAAGACTTGAGCAAATAACAGCTTAATACTAACATGCAGCCTGGTACAGCAGCAATAGATCAGGAAGTTCTTTGAGCTCAGAGCGATCTGTGATCACGAGAATGCCCCACAGAGTGAGCAAGCCCTGGAAAATATCTAAAATCAGGTGATCTCTGTACAGTCCAAGGCGTTTGTCACCTGGTTGTGGTAGATCTGGGAAGAGACATTTTCATTATTGATGTTTTAGCCCTCAGTGTTGCTAAGAGTTATTCAGTACCTCTGAAGTCACTGGACACCACTAAAACACAATGAAAGTGCTAAACACGAATCTCTTGCTTGTTGCAGAGAATCATTGAGAGCCCATGTGTTGAAGGTCTCCTCCAGACCATGCTTTCTGCTGACGTTCAAGAAGACTCTCTTTGTTATGTGACATCTTGCCTCGCTGAGCTGGCAAAGCAAGGTAGGGAAGCAACCCCACCATAAGTGGCTTAATCTGAGAAGTGTATGTATCCTTTATTAATCCTAGTGGGAGATGAAGCGCGGGTGGGCATACAGCCCAGGTCTTTCCCTTTAAATTCATGGGGAGTTTTGCCATAAGCTTCAAGAAGAGCAAGGTCTGACCCACTGACAGCGTGGGCTCCATTGTTTGTACTTTTCTCTGTTGAACTGCTTAAAATTTTTACTCAAAAGTCCTTGTGCTGAACTTTACTGCTGTACGTGGCCTGTCTACTTTTATTTGTAATGTCACCCTATTTCTCCAGCTGAATTCATTTCAGCAGAAACTAATATAAGAGGAGGAAAAGGCTAAAATACAAAGTGGCTTTTTCTCCTTAAGTTTATTGCACACAGATTTTATAAGAGATCCCAAATTACCACCCATGGAAGGTACAGTACTCCTCATGGCACAGAGGATCAATGTAAATCTTCCCAGCCTGTCCCAGCACTGGATATTGCCTGTCAAACATTTCATCTCCCGCATCTCTTGTAACCACCATGCAATTGGCGATATGTCACATTTAATTTTGTAAGAGGTGCCCAGCAGCTGCTGGACAGACTGAGCCCATTAGGCAAGAGTGGATCTCTCACACAAAATGACTCATTCTTTCAGAACACAAAACCAAGAAAATAAAACCCCATCAGCCTTTCTCTGAATCAAATCCATGTCCCTACCTTACTAAGAGCATAACCTCAGGACGTGGCCCTTTTTTACAATCTAAACATACTTATTGCACAAGATCAGCCCTTACTTTACTTCTCCAGCTGCATAAAAGATTTCCTATTTAGGCAGTATGTTTTCTGGCAGGCCTCTCGCCTTCGTTTCTTCAACACTGGAGTTTATGTTTACAGACTACTGTCTTACCTTTCTGCCTTCCAGAAGGAGCCACGTTACACATGGTCCAATGGATGGATGAACCCTTGACAAAGTGCTTGGTGAGACTGGCTGGCCAACTGGAACACACGGAATCATCCTTTCAAGCTGCCTCCATCATCCAGCACATGATAGGTCACGGTAACTGTCACACAGCATTAACTGTGCTTTCAAAGATATTTATGGCTGGCTGGAATGAAATGAGCCTTTTCCCAAAGGAGTTAACTGTCAGGCACCAAACAACCTTTAACATTCCTATAACATCCTCCAGCTAGTCTCTACATATTTATTAACATAAAAGCACCTGGACTCACTCTTGAAACACACATAAAACAGTGCTTGAGTGCATGAGAAAGCCAAGGGATGAAAACGGGCCATAGAGAAAGATCTGATTCAGGTGTTTGTTGCCTTCTTCAAGCGCTACCATTCTGCAGGGCTTGTCTGTAGCCAATTCTGAGGTCCTTAAAAATAACTTAAGTAGGAAAATGGAATAGTATAAAACACTCCTTACCAAGGGAAAGGCGAGAATATGTTTCAGACACGAGGCCTTGCTGCATCTTTCTGTTTGACTCTGCTTCTCAGTACATACAACGTGATGGCATTCCCCACAGATGGGAGTAGAGGTTGGTAGAGACAACAAGGGGATGGTTGTGTTCCAAAATGTTAGATCAACTCTGCTCCCTGACCAGCAAGAGGAAAGCATCTTTCTGAACCAAGCACTGCCATTGTAATATTAGGCTAGATTAGCAGGAGCAGTGAAGTGAAGCGGCTTTTAAGAGCGTAGCCTGTAATTTTTTTTTAAGTTTTAGTGAGATACTGAAAAGAGCGTTATTTTTACCTGCAGAAACCAAACAGCTTCATGCCTAATGTACTTGTCCCGTGCAGCTGAGAGCCTTTAGGACTTGCAAGAAAAAAGGTGTTCAGACGAGTCTTGCCATGTTCTCTAGAAAAGCACGGTTTGATTTTAATCTTTAGATGTGAGAGAAACTGAAGTCTGCAATGAGTCTCTAATAAGGGACAATGCAAGCCTACCATCAAGCCTACCATCGAGGATTTGCAACAGAGCAGACTCTCAAGTAGTGAACAGAGTCCAACCACATAATCGCTTCATGGACAGGTTAGCATGACAGGCAGCGATCAGTCATCAGCACGCACCTCACACAAGGACCAGCTTCCTAGCACAGCAGCCCACTCAGCATTTTATTTACCTGAAGTATCAGTGATACAGTTAGAGGCTGTAGTACATGGAACTCCTGTGCCATTCTTTGCAGTACCATCGGTTGTAGCTGAAGTTAGATGAATCATTCCGATCTTAAATGTTGTTGCAAAAATCAAAGTGTTTTAAAGGCTCCTATTGATCTCCAGTGGTTCTCCCATTTATGCAGAAAAAATGATGCTTTTGTCGAAGCGTCACATCGGAGAGATTCAGGCCTACCTCAAGAATTTTCTTACCCACCAGGAGATCCGCTTTCAGCAGCTGGGCATCTCTACGTTCTGCAGACTGCGACAAGGTACGTCCTTCCTTCTGGGCCGAACCCCCGGGGCGCTGCCAGACCCTGCCTGCTCCTGTCAGCTCGGCCTTAAACAGGCGCTGCTTTGTCACAGAAATCATGGTGCTGGGCAACTTCCCCTGGGGACTAGCTCAGCTGCCTTAAGCAAACAGAATAACCTCAAGGGTAGCCATTACCTTACCTGTTTTTAAGTAATTATGAATATCTTATGAGAAAGGCAGAGGGTGGGTTTTTTTGTTTGTTTGCTTTAAAATTAAAGGCTTTCTGATCAGCAGGGAAACAGGATTTCAGGTACAGATGTTTTTATCCAATATAAGAATGTTTGGCACTAGACAACCTAAAAAACCTTTCAAATATTAATTGTTTATTTTAATAAAGCAAGCAGGCAAGCAAATTGCATGATTAGCTGGTATTAAAGCTGGGAAATCTTACACCTTCTTCAGACTTTAAACTCTGTTCCTTAATTTTTTTTCCCCCCCCACTTTTGGTTAGTTTTTTTGGTTTTGGTAGAAGTTGAGTACAGATGAGGGTTATAATATGGTAATCTACATAGTGTGTACCTTCACATATGTAGAGTGAGAGCCACGATGCTGCTATGTCTTGATGTGTACCTGTTGCGTAAGGCTGAATTTAGCAACTGAGCTTTAGACATCTGTATCAGGAGAATTTAGCAGTGAACAATCTTGGAATGATTGAAGGGATGAAAACTGAATTTGTATCTGCTTTGTCTGGTAGATGAATATTGTTCTGCCTTCTCTATACTTCACACTGTAATAAGAACCATCAATGGCATCTAAGCTGAAACAGAAGCTTCCTAAGCATCTGCACTAAAATAGAGGGAAAGCCAGCAGGTTGCCTAACACTTGTTGTTCCTCTTCAGATCCAGAATTTTCATTCGTATTCAGAAAAAGCCAAATGGCCAAACTCCTCAAGCAAGTCCGTCAACAAATGGAAGAAACTCAAGAGCTCCTTAGGGCAGCTATTTGCCATGAAGACAGTTAATATTTAAGCCGGATGGTTTATGAAAACTTACCAGATCCAAGAGCCTGAACTTTCAGAGAAGACAACTCTTTTCATTGGTTCCTGTACCTAAACTTTTCCTGCTACTTGCAGTCTCGTCATACAGGAGAGATGTTTCGATAACAAGAACTGGAGCAGGTCAAAAGACAATCCCTTGAACGCTTTGGCTGGCTGCTTAAGTATGCTTGAGGACTACGGCTGCATTCCTTCCAACCGTTCGGAAAACGCCTGTTATGCTTGGGTAATCTTCCATGGTTTGCTTTTGGTTTCCTTCCCTCCATCCCCCCAAAAAACCCCCAAACAATGCTGTATTCATGAGGTTTTCTTCATGTAACAGGCTGATTCTACTTAAGAAGCATCTCTCAAGTATGCAGGTTACACTGCATTCATCTTTATTTTATTTCTGTCCCATGTACCTTATTTCAGAGCACACTCCAGGGACTTGACTTTGGAAAATAATTGAATTAACACATAGTGTAAAGGTAGCAAACCACTAACAGGTTACTACAGGAAGTAACTGCTGAGGGACAACTCAGAAATTGCAAGAAATTTATAAGAAACAAGAACAGAGCAAGCCTTAAGGCTGGTCCTTGCCTACACTGTAGGCACTGCTCCCCAGCAGAAGAGCGAAGGTGCGTTGAAGCAGGTAAATGTGGCACAGAGCACGTTCAGCATATAGCAGCTACCATGAAGGACTTGGGCGAGATGTGTCTGAATACAGGAATCTGCATTCTGCAAATGGTAAACATTTCCAAAGGTACTTACAACAGGGAAAAAGTGAGCATATTTGGCAAAATTAGGAATTGATCTTATATTTTGATATTTCATTTTAAAAGGAGTTAAAGAACAACAAAAAAGTAGTGATATGTTTAAACTCAACTGATTTCCTTACATGTATACAGGATACTGAACAACCTTCCCTTCCCTCTCCTCCAGGGGGAAGTCTGTCTTGCAGACCTTTTTGCCAATCAAAACAGTATTTTTCAGGAAAAAAAAAAATTGTAGCAGAGCCTTGAAGTTATGGGGCACTAGTTTTTTAACTTAGGTTTTCATTTGTAAGAGAATCGTAATCTAATAACAGTCATCTATTAGTAATCCAGTTCCACCTTTGATCAATACACTCTTGTTTTTAAATACAAGAATCCTCCTGGAGCTTCATATTAAATTGGCTGGAATATTGTAATTTTGGAACCACTCTTATGGCAAGCATCTGCTTCCACAGACAGCACAGTTTCTTATGAAAATATGTCAGAAGAGTTTCCGCGTCTTTTGAGGTACCTCTGACCATGGTGTAACTCCTACATGCATATATAGCTTTAGAACTGCCACTGGCTACAAACATGGAGTAAAAGTGAGATTAAAAATAAAAATAAAAAAAATCATTCTGTCAACTAAGAGCTCAACACTACGTTTTACTGTGGCCCAAATCCCTAAGCTTAAGTTTTGGTACTTGGGGGAGGCATTTCTGTTAACAATTCCTTTTAATAACTGCAGGTTCTCTCCAGTAGTACTGTTTTAAAAACACCACCCAACCAATAACACACTCAAAAGCCTCTCTGCAGCACAGTAACAAGACCTGTTAAAGAACAGGGCAGACAGAGACTTCAGCTAGAGCAGGATGGCATTTTCAATATTCATGTATGACAGGAATTTTCTTTTGAAATCTCAGGTGGAAGGCCCATGTGCTGAGCTGTGGACAGCTGGGCTTATTAAAACAGCTGGTAAAAGAACTGAACTGACACAACTAGGAACAAAATCAGAAAGTCTCAAACTTCAGGCCACCTCCTTGGGTGACACTAGGTCATTTTCCAAAAAGATCAGTGTAATATCAAGTAATGACATTAGAACCTGCCCCGTATCTGTATTCTCAGTATTTAATTGCAAACATCATTTCAATGTCTTAGCAAGAAAGAAAATAACAAAGCATTCTTCATCAGGACCGAGGAGGCGAGACATGCGCAACAAGCAAAGCGAATGGTGAATGACCCAGTAGTTGCAATGCATGGAGCCAAACTCCCCGAGTGCCATCCCTGTAAGCATCCATCCTGCGCTGTTAAGATATAAGCAAAGAGCTGAGCCTTTCCTAAGCATGCAGTGCAGCTGCTGTGAAAGGTTCCTACCCCGTACCTTCAGAACGGCTGCCTGCAACTTCTACAATTGCTTGTTCCACCTCCCTGAATAGTTACACATTGCTTCTGATGGTACAAATGACAAAACCAGTTGCAATAGCAGGCAAAGGAGCTGGCCTTCATTTAATACCATACTTTATTGTCAAGAACAACATTCAACTGAAGAAAAAATATTTTTCCCTGCATTTAAATAGAGGGGCTTAACCAAAGACTTAAAATTTCAATCCTTTTTAATTTTAGGTTTGGGGGTTTTTTTTATTCATACACCTAGTTCTATTCCCAATTCCCTAGCTTTTAGTTTGTATGTTGGGCCCTTGAAAAGGAGGAAATTTTCTCTCTCATTTGAAGCAAATCTGGAATGAATATAATTATAAGTTGTTTTTACTGCAGTCCTGTTCAAAAAAACCCAAACCACCAAACAACCAGACATGAAAAATGAAGCAGGCTTTTCATCTGTGCTGCAAACAGAGAAGCAAGCATTCTGAAGTCTCACAAAAACCAGATCAGTGTAATTTATACCCAAGCCTAAATAGTTCAGCATAATTTACACCTGAGCCTAAATGAACCCCCAAGACTTAAAATTGAAGCTAAATCTTACTGGCTGTTTCTTTGCTATGTGTCTAGCTGCAAGTGACTCTGTACTGATTCTCTAGTTAAGAGATTAGAGGAAAGCTGAAGAAAATTTTTAAGCAGACCAAGAGTAACAAGAAGAGTTTTCCATCACAGATTTACTCCTCCTTCAGCTATGCAAGAAAATGAAAATGTAAATAGAAATAAATATTTCAAACAAATTTTATTTGGTACTTACATGCTATATATATGTTTAAAGAAAAACTACATATTTTGGACATTTCAGAATACTGTGGCTATGTACATGTTAAAACTAAAGAAAGCAAGAAAGGAACCCAATTAATTTTACTGTGTCACAAGCTTTCTGACTGAAAGGCTGTTTTTTCTCTTCCATACATATTCTGGCAGATGAAGTCTCTTTCATTGAGTTTCCATTGCTTTTATCCCATCTCCTGCGTAAGATGAACACTTGGCAGCAGCAGAAAGTAATTTCTTCAAAAATTCTTCAGCTTTTCTCTCAAAGGATTTCTTCTGCTAGCGCAGCCTTTCTGCAGAGCTGCCTTCGGGCCTAGCTCAGTGCTCACTGAAGGCAAGCACAGGAATCTTAATGGTATGTTCTCTGGTAGCATGAACCGAAAGCCCATGAACCCCCGTTTCCCCTGGCCAAGAGTCTCCTTGCTGACTTCAGTGAGCAGTGCATTGAGCCCTCGTTGGTGCTTCAAACTCAAATACCTGGAGCAAATTCTACCTCTAACACCTTTGTTTATCAAATCACAAAAAGGTGCAAGATTTTACAGTTCTGCCCAGTTGCAATCAAAACTGAGGGGTAGAACGATGACAGCAGAAATCAGCATCAAACTGGAGAGAAAGCAACCTGCATTGCTCCTCTTATCATGCAAACTGTACTGCTTTATAAAAATCACACACTACATTAAAAGCACAATGACCATTTTCCACTTGCTCTGAAACGAGCAAACCCAGAAATTCCCCAAACCAACCTGCTTCATCATCCAAAAATCAAATATTTCAGGTTTCACACAGTCTTCCATAGTCTGATAAGGCAAAGGAAAAGTATTCCATCATTGGGAACAGCAGCAATTTACAGGACTCAGAACAAGGTATTTCCTTGTGTGTGTGCGTGTATGCATCTTTTATAGTATTGTGAACATGGATGTAACTAAAAAAAAAAAATCAAGCTTGTAGCATCGTTTTACCACATTTTTCTAATTTATTCAATTAAATGATTTATTTCTGAACAAAATTCATAAATACATCATCTAGGAGAACAATAGGTTTTCCTCTTGTCCATGAAAAAATAACGCTTTCAAATGTTCACATTTTAAAACCTGCCTTGTTTTGTGTTTTTAGAGAAAATGCGAGAAGATCATAGTGACGTCTCAATTTACAGAATGTCCCTGTAGGAATTACATTTACAAGAACCTGATACAGAAGCCTATACTTTGCCCCCATAATTAGAGTTCTCTGCAATAATATTCAAACCAACAGGTTTAAATAAAACACCCTGTTAACTCTACTTGTAGAGCAACAAGGTATTTCTTTTTCAAGTATTAGAACCACAAAGTGTAAGATTCTTTGCCAATTTTACAATTATGCCTTTTAAACCAACACCCACCTTTTTTATAAAAAGATTCAGTCCCACCACCTAAAATCAGCCCATTGCTTTCAGATTCCAGTGTCTTGTGTCTTAAGGAATGCAGAAATACCCATTTACTAACAGAAAAAGCTTGTTGGAAAAAGCTGTATTAAGTAACACGTGAAGCATGATTTTTCTAGTGATGAAAGCTATTAGAAAGGTGATCCAAGTCTATTCCCATCATTTCTTCTGCTGGTTTTACTAAAGTCCTTCCAAAAAAGATATTCAAGAAATCTTTAAAAAACTGCAGAGAAAAAAAAACCAAACGCTCCTTCATAGCATGGAAGAAACTCCACTGACTGCAGAGATGCTCACATCACCTTTGGTTCTTCAGAAGAAACATTCAGATCACTTCTGCAACAGAAGGGATCAAAAATGACAGGTCAAAAAGCAACAAAGCTTAATTCAAATGTTATGCATTTATGCAATTATGTTATTGTAAGATGATTTTCTTTACATTTTCTAGCCACAGAAAAAGAAAATGGTAGTCCAATTTAGTTTGCTAAATTAGTATTTGTTTACCCAGCATTCCTTAGAAGTTGGGATGCAATTCAGAAAAATCTAGTGTGCTTCAAACCATCCCTTGATATTAACACCAGTAAGAACTCGGTGAGGGAAGTAGATCCAGAATTTTACAGAGAAGGGAGGTACCAGCTCCCCTTCTGCATCTGCGTATCGGGTGTTACACTCGCACAACTGGAACCTGATTGCTCATCGTAAGCCAAGAACAGCAGTTGTCACTGTTATAATTTCCATTTGAAAGCACAGGGCAAACACTTTCAAGCAACTTCAAACAGCAGAAAGTGCAGCGTAACCAAGAACTCCGCCTCAAACAAAAGATAGAGCCTCACCATAATTTGCCCAGCATCTGTATGTACTTGGCATGCATTGCTCTGCAAAGAGCATATGCTCCTTACCCCAAATAATATGGGATTTAAAAATCCTTAATCAACTTGTATCAGTTAAGAGCTCTAGGTCCTGTGTCAATCCCAACACCTTACAAGTGTTAATGAACCAAGGCAAACCTACCTGCTGTTTGATGCGTTTGAACACTATCTACCTGAGGCAAAAGAGTCCCCTTATCTTCAAAGGCTAGAATTGGATTCAAAGGAATTTCGGGACTATTGCTTCCATCATTGTTCATGGCATCCAGCCGGGATGGTTTAGAACCAATAGGCAGGTTTATGATCTCTTCAAAGTTATCGTTCTGCATAGACATTCCATTTCCATTTGCATTTTTCTCTGGATTGAGATTGCTGAAAGAGAAACATAGGTATTTCCTCATACACTTCATCTAGAACAGAAATTTAGTCCTCCTCAAAGTAATGTTACAAACTGAAAAGCCTGCATTAATCCACAGCATTCCTTTTAGCCAGTAACAGCAAAACTATGCTTCTACCACAGTAGAAAAACTGTTTTTGCAGGCAAGTACTAGATATGCCTTCCCCCAAATACACAGGACAGCCATTGCATTTGGCTACACTGTGCCCAGAACTGTAGGGCTTTATGGACGCTGCAATTCTGAGAAGTGACCGAAATGGGAAGCAGTAAGAAAACCCCTGCAGCACCCGCACTGCTATCTTGAGCCACCCACCTAATGCCATTTCCAGCCTCTAACATCTTTCTCAGCTCTCATGACATTTGCCATATCCTTCCTCTTATTGCAAATCAATGTAATTGCCCTTAGATAAGATCACTCTCATTTCTGTTATTCCTTAGATCACCTCCTGCCTCCAGTTTTGGAGCCACCTCTTCTACCTGCCACTCAGCCAGAAAAAAACCTCCCTTACTGATGCAATTCTCCTTTCAGTCTCTCCTCCCCTACAGGTTCTTGGGGCTTATTTCCAAGGTGCTACCTGACTCTGCACTCCTCCCCTTGATCATGCCCAAGCCAGAAGAAACACCTCCCAGCACCCCTCATGTCAAAATTTGCACTTTCTTTTTCTATCTCCCGCTTGACAGAGAAGATACCTCACGAGCAAGCTCTCGTACCTCTCCCCTGGCCAGGAGCGCTACCAGCACACACTCTCATGGGAAGATACATGATCATCTCTCCCAGTCTCAACCCTCTGAACCCTTTTATGAGCCACTGTATTGCCAAATTCTCCTGTCTCTGCAGTCTGCACACGCTGCCTTGCCAGAGGGGAGAAGCTAAGGTGCAGCTTCAGTGAACAGGATGACAGGAATGGGACCATAAGCTCCTTGAGAAAGAGCGAGTGCTCAGCTGACACTCCAGAACCACATGATCTTTCACAGGTGCTTCTTCAGGCCCTCAGCTGGTAGAGCCTGACGATCTTGGGTCCCTATTCCTTACTGGGACCTTATCACTGCTGTTCAGGTTGCTTGGAAATGCTTCAGCCACAAAGGCTCAGATGCAATTTTCCTGGATTTAAACGAGGCTATCAATTTCCTCACGCCATTATCTGAGCAGGCAGCTTGGTTTCGCAGGCTAATTTTCTCCTGACAATACACTTACTGGTCTTAAAAAAACCTAAACCAAACCAAACAAAAAAACCCCACTAAACAAACCCAAAACCAACCAAAAAAACCCCCTGCTTGTACTTGGCATATGGTTTATTTTCATTTGCTGGCTTCTTTGGGTGTCTAACTCTTCACAAACAATTACAGAATTGTTTTACAGTACTTCCCGAGAGACAGAAAATAATTACTACTCTTTCGAAAGTAGCAACACTCTATCCAAAGCCCACATTTCCTGATGACATGCTGGTTTTCGTATCAAGCCTTCCCCAGTTTTTCAAACCATCACTGGTTCTTTTTTTCAGAAGGGCATTCCTCTTTTTTTCACCTGGGGACATGCAGAGCGAATTTCAAAGTAAAAAGTGTGTTTCACTGCACTGAGTTTAAGAGCAGACAGAAACCCTGCTGGCTGCCTGCGAGAGGTCACAAGTCCCATCACCCTTTTGTGCCAGAGATCCGTACCTCACAGATGCGGAGCAGAGTCTGCAAAGTGCTTTAGGACTAATAAAACCTGCTCTAGAATGCATAGTTATTATTCTCCATAAGGTATCCTTATAAATCATTTCATCCCCAGCTACTACCAATAACCTTACCAGAGCTAGGCTAACACGGCAAGTTTGATGGATGGCGTAAGAAAGAGGGGGGAAGAGAGCAACTGCTCATTCATGTAATTTAAACAGCATAGTACTTCAACAAGCATTGGTACAATGAACATGACCCTTACTTCTGCAAACAGGTATTAATGTTTCTATCCGATTGATCAGCTGAGTTCATAGATAAACAGTTCTTCATATTTGTTTGTCATTGCACTGCCAGTATTCCATACGGAGTTAGGCCAGGATTCACAGACTTGAAAGATGTCCTTTCAGACAGGGGAGTCTATACAATCACAAAGGGGGTACAGGAGAGGAAACCGTGCCTATGAATCTTCTGTATTTTATGCTATAAAATCTTCTATATTTTATGCTATTTGCTCCACCAGATTACTAGGGGAGCAAGTTTAGAAGAAACGAAGGGAAAAACAGAACTGTGGAATTAAATCCACCGGACATCTTAGAGGCCATAAGCTCAAAAGGAGATTAGACAAATTCTTCGGAGATCGGTATGCCCTCCAGCTTCTGGTAATTAGCAGCTTAGGGACTACTTGTGTCTATGGTTGCATTTGGGCCACGATGCTTAGTAACCCTTCACTGACCAGAGGATCTCCTGGTACTTACCTTTTCTTCCTTTACACTCCCCCCCAAGCGACTGCTACAGGCCAGTAAAGCAAAGAACGCAAAGAAGTAATGGATTTTTGACCTGCTACAGCTGTTCTTGCTGTCTTATGTTACGTTCTTAGTGAAGTCTCAGTGTCTAGCATGACACCTTTTCAGGCACACAATATTGCAGGTATATTTCTAAGAACTGGATAATTTTGGCATTGTAACATAGTCTGTAAGTGTGCCTGTAGCAAGACACCTATGTAATGATAATAAAAAAAGCTGCCTGAGTTACCCAGAGTGCATTTCCAAACATAACAGCCTTGCAAGCATCTGAAGGACAGCTTCATGGTAGCTAAAACAAAAAAGCATCTGTGCAGCTTCACATTTTCAACTGGACACATCAGTATTAGCAAGACAGACAAAAGGAAGTTGAGAGAAGAGCAGCTAATTTAATTAAAGGAACTGGAACGTCAAAAAAGTTAAACATTACTGAGAAATACAGCTGATGTAGATAATTTTAGCCAAAGCTCTGTGTAGACATAATCTATATGTAAAGAATTTGAAGAGGGTAAAGAAGAAAGAAAAAGGACCAGAATTTCAGAATTTAGCACCACTACAGAAAAAATTGAACTCAGTAACATTCTTTTCCAGGGACAAGATATTGAGGCAGTCACCTTGTCTAACTGTATATTTCTAAAAACTGGTTATCTAATCCATGCAGACCCAGCTCCCTTTATATGGGATGGAGACGCACAGATGAGGTGAACTGCTCTTACTGAGGCCCCACTGCAGGCATTTATAGAAAGCAGCACAGGAAAAAAAAAAAAAAAAAAAAAAAAAAAGTTACAGGATAAGAATAAGTATCATAAGGAAAACAATGTCAACATAAACCACTGTACTGAAACAACTTTCTGAGAAGTAGCAGACAGGATCTAACTTGGGTAAAGATTTAGAAAGCAGAGAAGCAGCAATAATCTGTAAGCAGGAGATGGATTAGGCAGCCTTACTGGTTATCCACCTCCAACTGCTATCATTGTGTTCCTTTCAGGATTCCACTGTTCAGTAAAGCAAGAAAAAATTAGAATCTGAAAAAAAAATCTTGGTTGGAATCTTTTATAACTTACAAAAAGTTTGTAAGTACTTTAACAGTATATCTTATTTTCAAATGACTGTTTCATTTTTCCATTTCTTAGGAAAAAAACAAAAACCAACCTGGCCAGAAGTTAACATGCCATTAATAATATTGTAGGATCCATAAACTACAAGTTTTCTTGGTAATCCTAGATACTTTACTAACTGGAAAATTTCCATGGTATGCTCCATTTTAAAATATATTTAGTGTTGCCCTTTCCATCATACTACACCTGGATGAGAAATGTCTCTAAGTTCAGTTGTGAGTCTTCTCACCACAGACTTCCAGGTCAGATATAAGGTCACACCCTTCGC